CCTTTTGTCTGAGGACTCAGTGACATTCAGTGAGAGGACTGGTGGAGTTGGCAAGGTGAGAAGTAGCTCTGGCTTGTTCTTTTGTCTCTCTGAGCTTTCAGCAAATTTTATTGGGGTACAACAAAATATCATCACATATAATTATAACTATTTAGTCTTCAACTCCATCAAAGACCCCAGAAGGATATAAAATTACCTGAGTAAACAGAAAGTACAGAGCAAACAACTTCCAAAATTAAGAAAAACAGAAACAGCTGGCTGCCTGGATAGTCAACCAAGGCTCCTCTGCAACACTGGGGCATCCATCTTTGGCCTACAGGCTTGGAATATCTGACAGACTCATCTGTGCAGCAGGATTTTTGAAGGACTGTTCCACCTTGTCTTGGTAAAGTTCTGCAGTCACTTTCTTCACTGTCCTGCTTGTCCATTTTGACAGCATACTGTCAGCAGTCAAGGCAAAGGTAATTTCTTGCCCAGCAGCTAACTTTTGCCACAAAGAAAGTGAACTCCATAGGGAGTTTCTTCAATGCCCATCATTTTCTTTGAAATAATAGATTGATGCTGCCAGGAGCATACATGTCTCATTGTCGTTTAAAAAAAAAAAGAACTTTATGTTATTAAAATATCTTAAATTCCATATTCTGTAGATCTCTGAAGTGTTCAAAGACCACCTACCTATCTAAAATGTGTCTCTGTTTGACTTTTGAAAACATACCTAACATGACTACAAGTTTGATTGTAATAGGTGACTACTGTCCTACATTTTTTATTATCCTAATTAGTTTGTAATAATAACTTTCAAGAGCTAGAAATTTACATTTGTGGTGATATTTTGTGCATGCTCTAACAAATAAATCTTGCTTGGAGATCAGAGGGTGGAGCTAGCCACTAGTTAACCATAGAGGTCTGGAAGTCTGTACAGAGAGGAGATAGGAAGTGACTAGGCTGGGTGGAGAGAGGAAGTGATAAGGCAGGGTGGAGACAGGATCTTGGCCCTTTGGCCAGAGGATTCTGAGAGGTAAGAAGTGACTGTGGCTGCTCCTCTACTCTGATCTTTCAGTTTTCATCTGACTCCTGGTTTTTATTGATAAGACTAATTAAGATCATGCTTCATTGGAGTGATGATCAGTTAAGAGAACTGGATTAAATTCCTGATTCCTGGAAACCACATGGCTACTCACAACTTTCTAGACCTTTAGCCCCATGGGATCTGATGACCTCTTTTGGCCTTTGTGAGCATTGTATGCAGACATACATGCAGGCACTATACCCATACACATAAAATAAAAGTAAATGAAAAAAATTTAATTACAATCATGGTGATGCAGCTAAACCATAGTAGTCTAAATGAAAAGTCTTAACACTGGGAATTATTGTTCAACTGATATTTTGGTGTGTCCATTTTCAGAGAAAGAGAGTTGGAAGGGATCTGAGCCTAACAGTCTAGTCCTTTATTTGCAGAAAAGGAGAATGAAAAGGACAATACTGTTAACCCCACAAACCATAGAATACATGATTCCACTGGTTATCCAAGATCATAACAAAGTAAGTTCCCATAGAAAGCTGGTTTCACCATGAAGATACACAGGCAACAGACAGCCTTTAACAATTCACAACAAGTTATTTAAACACAGGGAACCTCTGCACTAGAAAAAAAGCATTTCCCTCCTACAACTTTAGTTAGTTATTGTACTTTAGGAAACTCACATGACTAGAACAAACAAAAGATAATGCTAGATTTATTTTTAATATCAGATTAATTACAATGTGCCAGAAGCAAAGTAATCACATTTGAACCATCTCCCTCTCCACTGACATACAATTAAAAACCATGTGGCAAAGAAGAAATAAATTTCTGTAGATATTTATGAAAGATTTAAAGTTTTTAAGTATTTTTAAACAGAAATCTTGCTTGTCTCTGAATTACCTTTACCAACGACTTCTAACATTCATCTGTAAACTTCTTTAATTACTTGGTATTTTTGTGGGGGGTCTTATTTTCTCATAAAAGTCTCCGTGGACTGACTGGGTAGGAGTTCTGCAGAAGCTCTTTTTATTGATATACAACAGTCCTTTTAGAAAGTCAATTCCCCAATACCAAAATCCCTTATCTGAACTAGGAATTGTCTTAAGGAACTGTTACCTAAGCAAACACAGTCATTATAAGAATTCCAGGTTTGCTTTCTGCCTATTTGCTTCTCTAGCCTGATTACAGTGTTCCATGGCCGCTGCTTCCCCTCTACATCAAGTAAGCCATTGCAATTGAGGACCAGCTTCTAGTATAGCTGCCACTAAAGCCTTCCAAGCTTGTGGGATTATTCTATTCTGAGTATCCCAGTTATCTAAAATCTGTCTTACATGGGGTGAATGCATCCCAAATGCCTCCACTTCCTCTTTAAATCACTCCAGATCTATCATTTCTGTAGGTCTCCAACTAATTTGAATATAACCTTGAGGATATTGGTTATTTCTAGGCATTTGCTAGTTACTGGAAATACCTGAGGTGGTGTCCTTATAATCTTAGGCAACAGTCCTTCAGTTCTTTCATAAGGAGGCTCCATAGGTCCTTGATTATGATTAACCATTTTTTCTCTACTGGGAAGAACCTTTTTTTTCTTATTTCACTCTTTATCTCTGGAGTCTTTTTTTTTGTATCTTCAAATTTGCAATTGTACAGCTAATGCTACAATTTTTCCTTTTTCTAAATCTGTTTCATCTAAAAGAGGAGTAGATTAGTGTCTGGACCTTCCTCACTTTCTTTTTGTTGTT